GTAGATGGGATAAGAATCTCGCCCCGATAGCGATTTTGTTCTCGTTTTGCTTGTCTCACGATCAGGGTTGTGATATGGTTGCATCTTGCATAATCTGAAGCAATTAAACGATCCAAGGTCTGGCTCCGCGAATGCCACGCGAGAACACGTGTAAACGTGACCCGAGTCGCGCCCTTACACGCATTCCCGTACGTCGATTCGCCCACCCAAAAAGAATTGAGGCGGAACCGTCATCCCGTACAAGCACGCTGAGGCGCCACTGAGACGGCCTGTACTACATGTGCTCGTGCGCGGTGACGATATCCCAACCTGCGCTATCCCATCGACAATGATACCATGACGCGATCTTGGGGCTCAGACTCGTCCTATGACCCGGATTATTTCACCCCTATAATAAACGAGCTCATAAGGACTCGATACCCTTGTCACACGGAGAATCGGCTATGTCCGCGGGAATTCCACTGTGCCACCACTAGCGACCCTCGGTGCTCCGATTTCCCTTCCCCTGACCACACCTACTACTTCACCCACCCGGGATTCGTTGAGATCACCACCTGTTTCCCTCCTTTCCGCCTTCTTCTCCCGTATCATCAACTCAGTGTTGTTCCGTGGCCGGCCATAGCCCCCTATTGGCCCAACACGTTTTGTGTAAATTGCCGACGTAGCAGCGAACAGAGAAGTCCGGAATTTCGAAGGCCCAACCCAGGCACGAGGCGACCTGCGCCACGTGGGGGCCCCCGACGGCCTAACTTTTCGAGGCCGCCTCCACCGCAGAGGGATTTCCCCGCAAACCGTCGCCCACAGTGCCCCGGCCCCATCGGGCCTTGAGTCCCCTGCGCACGCGCCCCTCTTTCGCCCAATTGCATTCATATCCTTAAGACTCCCCCACTTTCCCAAAAATCCTTGGCACACCCCTTTTCGCACTTCAAGGCCCACATCCCACTCCGATCAGGAAGTCGCGCTGGGCGTGAGGTTGGTATCGGAGTCCGACACGTGGTTAGGGTCTTAGGATTGATACCACGTTAATTAAGCGACTTGGCTAACCGTGGGCGACCTCGCCCTCGGAATGCGTATAGACGCGACCCTATTGTCACCAGAAGCAAATCGGCTAACCGACGAGCAACCAATATGGCTGCCAATGTGCAAAATCCAGTTCCGCAACAAAATTTTAACCCACCAAATCAACCTGCCCCACGTGCACGAGCTCCCATGTCGCCACCAGATCTCTATCTATTTGATCCGGCGCACCATCTCGCAGGAGCATGGCTGGCCACGCTTAGAGCACAGCAGTACGATGATCACGAAGCACAGATCTACATTCCGGCTCGAATGGGAGGAGACGCTCATCACTGGTATAGTACCTATGTGTGGGTGGACCTCCCGACCTTCGAACGAGATTTCATGACTCGATTTGATTATGTCCACTCTGAGCAAGCGCTGTACATGATCAAGGACCGAGTGCAAAAACTGCTCGAATCCGTCGCGGAATATCGAAACCGGTTCTACCGAATGTTCGTAAAAACTGAGCGAGGTGAGCAAGTAGGGAAAGATCTGTTCATTGACGGACTCCGCAGTCGAACAATAAGGGCTACGTTGCGAAAGCAGTTTTCCCCCATCACCCATACGCTACAACAAATTATGGCTGCTGCGGAAGAAATGGAACGGAAGTTCGCGACGAACTTCCTGGAAGGAGAAGATTACCCTAGAGACGGAGATTCGACCGAGCTCGCTCGAGCAAGAGCAGAGCTGGCTGCTTTACAGAACAAATTTGAAAACATGGGGTTTGTATAAGGACATGTCACCTACATGGAACATATAGGCCCCAAACGAGTAATCCTAAGTGAGACTCCGAGCATCTCTGCTCCTATGATACCCCCGCCTGTCAGGACATTACCCCCGCCGCCGGTAGAGGCTCCTGTACGATCAAACGAATCGGCGGCCATTTTCGAACTAACCAAAACTTTGATTAGTTTGATCAAAGAAAGCAAAAAGGAACAACGAGAGCACAATGCTCGGCTGGAAGCTATGATAAGGAACATGCGACCTATGGCGGTGCGTGCCCCTCCGATGCAACAAGGATTAGCCCCTGCCCCTGCTCTCGGAGGAGCTGCGAACAATCTGAATGTTTGCTACGCCTGTCATCAGCCCGGACATCTAGCCCGTGACTGCCCCCACCGACCACCACAACAGCGGATCGGAGTCGCACCTGTGGTTGTGGCCCCCATCGCCAACGGACCTGGACGAGTCGGAGACTTGATGGAAGAAGTAGAGGGTGGGGGAAGTGCCCTGGCCACCACAGAAGAGGCCGCCGAGCTAATTCCGCTAGATCAGTATGTATCGCTGGGATATCCTGGGCTAGGAATGATCGGAACAATCAGACCAGTGCCAGAACCAAAAGAGGTGGCGGAGTGGCGACCGTCCTTAGGAGAAATGGAGTCGGGAGGACCCACCTTCGTCACAGGGGAGATCGATGTATTAAACATCATCCGAGAATTGGACCATCGGATTCCCCTTCCGATCGGTCATCTAATCTCGATGTCCGAGCAAGCCAATGAGCGAATGTTACAACACTGTAAAGCGAATCGAAAGCGATTCGCTCTCGCCCGAGCACCAAACGTAAAAGCCAACGGCCCCGCGTCGGAAGAAGACCCAACAAACACTCCGGATTCGATATGGTTAGGATTAATTCAAAAAGACGATCATTTTCTACGGATTAAACCCATTCCGTAGAGAACCGCAGAGTGCGATATAGAAATTTGGGGAATTCTTTACAACGCAATTATAGACTCGAGAGCAGCTGTGTTGGCTATTTCACTGAGAGTGGTCGAAAGGGTAGGCAGGAAAAACGATCTGATCATGCTCACCGAGAAAGATCAGCTCGTTTCGGTAGATGAGGAAAATATTAAAACTGTGGGGAGAATGACCAACGTCGCCTTCCGATTGGGAAAAGTACACGCGCTTGGGGATGTCGTAGTACTAGATGTTAATACGTACGACGTTCTTTTCGGACTTCCCGCTCTTGTGGCGTTACGAGCAAACCTGGATTTCGAACGACGAGCGATCGTCCTCCGAAATACAGGAGGAAAGCCCTACGCTGTGCCCATGCGATTGACCCTTCGCACTGCTATTAACGCGGTTCCACGGGTTTCGCCGATGATGGCAGAGACTCTCCGCATGATCTCCTGGGACGAACCCGCAGAAGGAAAGTCATCAACTGAAGATGCGGAGAGCAGTGACGAGGATGATCCAGAGATCTTGAAATTGGCACGACAACGTGTTTGTTACCCACCGCCCAAAACGATAGCAAGAACAATGCAAATGACCAGCCGAAAAATTCAAAGGACCAAGGTGATGATCTTGGGAGAGCCCCTCGTGCAGATTTCGAGGATGGTCGACTCTTTGGAACCCCCTCAAACCCTGTACGAAGGGATCACCCCTCTCCTCGCCAGGTACAGCGACAAAAAGCATTTTTGCGACATTACGAAACTACCTAAGTCCTTACCAACATCAGCTAAAGAAGTGAAATTGTTGCGCTTGGGGGCGGAAGCAAGCTCTCTGGAACCCCCTGGGTGTTTCGAAGCAGAGACAGACGGACTGGGGATAAAGATCGCAACTAAGGAAGTGCCATGGCAGGATGTTTGTGACGGGATTACCCCGGAAGGACACGTGGCAATCCGAGAAGAAGATGCTCAGATGATGGCCACGGTGTTCTCCAGGCGATCGGATCATTCATTCATCTCGGCGCCTCCACCCGAATTAACAAAACAGGCGAATAGGAAACAGATTGACGTTCGGATCTGGGACCAACTTTTCGAACTACACGTTCCACAATATGTGTCGGACGAAATCCACCGGGTAATTGCGGATATTCTAACGGAATACCAAGGAGCAATTAGTGTATCAGACACTGGCATCGGGTTCTCGTTAGTAATCCAACATGAAATTCAGACAGGAAATCACTCCCCAATTCATTGCAAACCTTATCGCTATTCCTTGATTGAACGCAAAAAGACTCTCGAATGAATTCGGGAGTTCGAAGCCAGTGGTTGGATTGAACCCGCTACCGGACCTTGGTCCTTTCCCGTAGTATTAGTGCCGAAGAAAAACGGAGCGATTCACATTTGCATTGATTATCGCAAGTTGAATAAGATCACGATCAAAGATGTGTATCCCCTCCCCCAGATTGATGATTTGCTGGATGCAATTGGATGTGCTAACTACTTTAGCAAGTTTGATATTCGGCATGGTTTCCATGATATTCTGGTAAGGGAAGAAGATCGACCGAAAACGGCCTTTGTGTTGTTTGAGGGCACGTGGCAATGGGTTCGGTGTCCGATGGGGATTTGTAATGCGCCTGCCACGTTTCAGCGAGCGATGAACATGACGTTCTAGAACTTCGTCAACAAGACATGGCTGACGCAAGGGATGATCAACTTCTGCGTGATCGTGTACATGGACGACATCCTGGTCTATTCGGAGACTTATCACGGGCACGCGCAACATATTGAATGGACATTGGGCGCACTGAGAGATGCTGGGTTTAAGATTGCGCTCGAGAAAAGCGAATTTTTCCTCTTGGAAATTTCGTTCTTAGGCTACGTCGTGACACGTAGAGGATTGCGGTCGGACTCAAGAAAAGTTGCGGCGGTGAAGGAAGCCCCGGTTCCCACGTCACTGACGCAGGTTCGATCCTTCTTGGGACTGGCGTCGTACTACCGACGCTTCATCAAGGGCTTTGCCGCGATTGCACGACCGCTAACGAACCTGTTACGGAAGGACCAACCTCTCAGTTGGGACGCGGGGTGTCAGCAGGCCTTTGCAACCCTCAAAGACGCTCTGGCACCAGCCCCTATTTTGATTCGGTCGGACCCCTCGAAGCAGTTCATTCTTATCACGGACTGGCAACCGGAAGCCATTTTCGCTATTTTAGCACAGAAGGGGAGCGATGGTCGCGAACAAGTCATCGAGTACGCGTCTCGAACCGTACCGGACGAACGAAGAAACGACTCCGCACCTCAAGGCGAGTGCTATGCGGTAGTTTGGGGAATCCAACACTTCCATCCGTATCTCTACGGACAGAAGTTTCGCCTCGTAACGGATCACGAGCCTCTGCTGGCGTTGAAGAAGTTCACCAACTACACGGGCATGATTGGTCATTGGGCGGTGCGATTGCAAGAATACGACTTCGATATCGTCCATCGAAAGACAGAGCGACACGGCAATGCGGACGGGCTGACACGTCTGCATCGACCCGCCAAGGTACCAAAGGGCGAGGAAATTACACCGTGGAAAGAGCCAGACCTGACTAACGAGCCGAAGTATGGACAAGTGGCAGTTCTCCCACGTGACAAGAAGCGAATCGGTGGCGATGGGTGACGGAGGTAACCCCACAACCCCTCTCTCCCCCCCTTCCTCTTCATCTCTCCTCTCCCTGCCTGACAAATTTTGTTATTTTTGCGAAGCCATCTCCCGCGTATACTCGGTCTCCACGTGTCCTAACGGGGAGGGGTATGTCGATTGGATCGATTGTCGACAGTGTGTCGCACGAGCCGATGGCTCATGCATCCAATACAGAAATGATAGTAAACCGTGGTTGTGCCCCTTGTGCCGGACCAACAAAATTCCGACCGAGGCTCGATTTTTGGATGCCACGTCAGAAGGATTGGAAAAGACCCGGAAGTTTAGAACGGCCGAGGTATGGACGGATATTGCCTTAATTGCCACCCTAGTAGGCAACCCCCTCCAGGATTTCACCAAGGAAGATCGGAGGAGGGCCAACGAAAGGGCTCGGGATTATCGATGGATGGAGGGTAGATTAGAAAAACGGAAAACGGACGGCAGTGGGATTTGGATGGTAGTGCCACATCCGTTCATGCGGTACGACTGGGTTAAAACCGCCCACGAGGAAACTGCGGCCCATTTTGCCGTACGAATCACGGAGTCCGCTATCGACAGAAATGAGTGGTATTGGTCCAATATCCGCGACGATGTGTAGTACATTGTCGCCAACTGTCAAGTCTGCGCTGCAGATAAGGCGCCGATTCAACCGCCAAGAACGATAGTGCCCACGGTTGTTGAACGGCCATTTCAAAGAGTGAGTATGGACACTACCGACATAGTGGTGCCCCCTTGCCCTAATAGTTACGAATATTCAGTCCTATTGGTATTTGTCGACCATTTCTCGAAATGGATCGAAGCATATCCTTGTCGCACGCGGCAAACCATGAAAATTGCGCGATATGTCAACCGTTTCCTCGGGATGCATGAGGATACGGAAGATATCCTGACCGACAACGGGGCTGAATTCAGAGGAGAAGTGTTAAAGAGTCTGGTCATACATGGCGTCGCCATACGGAACACCGCACCCCACATGTCACAATCCAATGGGCTGGTCGAAAACGCCAACCGGGTGATAAAGACCACATTGCCACGAAATATTGCGGCACGGGATCCGAGGCCCTGACCCGACATCGTCGATCACATCCTGGCGGTCCATCGCGGAACGCCTCACGAATCAACGAGGCTGAGCCCCTTCCAATTAAGGACCAATAGCGTCGCTTGCGTTTCAATACCAAGCCTCCCGGACGAATCTAAAGTGAACCGACGTCCCACCAGGGCCACGGCTAGGGACAAGGCCAAACGACACCTAGAGCTATTGGAACGGTCACTGCCCAGGCTAGCCCGAAAACGACAGAAAATGACCGAACTAGCCCAAGGCCGACAGATCCAAAGCTACGAGGCCCGAAATGGGAATGCGGGTCCATGGCCCCAGTACAAATTAGGGGACGTGGTGCAGGTGAGAAAATGTGCTCGCCAGGGTAAGCTAGCGCCACGATTCTTCGGGCGATATCGCGTGATTGAGCTCGGCCCCAACGGCGTGGACACCGTGCGCCTCGCCCCTAAGGTCTCCGGCAGCCGATCGGCTCGACTAATCATCCGCCACGTATCCTACCTCCCTCCCCTTCCTCCTTCTCCATCTTCGCCTCCATCTGATTCCTCCTCCTCCGATAGGGAAGGCGACGACTATCCCTCTCCTATCTCTCCGTCTCCTTCCTGTTCTCTCTCTCTTACCCCGACACCATCGCCATGAGCTTTGCGACGGAGTAAGTGATTAGCGCGCGACTTCTTACTCCGCGGGGGCGAATCAGTGTCATACGGCAAGTGCAGCGGCCCCATCTCTGCACGGATCTCCTCCGGTTTGCGGCTTTCTTCAGTACAACGACGATCTACGCGGTGGCAGAGTTCCGATTCGCAGAAGAAGCAACTACGAGCGTTCTAGCTGAGATCTCGGCCTTTCGACGACTATCCCCTCCCGGGATTAGCCATATCGCTGTCGTTGTCGTCTTTATAGGGGATATCACAACGATTCCGTCGGCAAATCACTCCGACATCTATCGGACGTTGCGCACTTGGGTTGGGGAAGTGAGGACGGCGTGGGCGGATCTTCTGGCTCGACGAGGAGATACCATCGTACCGGCGCATGACACAGACCTCCAGCTCCGCTCGTCTTGAAGTTTGCCTGCGATCGTGCTTCCGGAGTTTCGTCCCTTCGAGCCGCCCCAATGAGTCTTCGTCGCATTTCCTATTTCGGCCTCCCCTCCAGCATCCCCACCCTTTGGCAGTCCGCGCGGGCTCCCACCCTCTCTTACCGTGTTAAGGAGAACAGTGCGCCGCTATCGAGTAAGGAGAAGTGGGACGCATGGTGGGAGAACTATATCGAGCTCGCCTTTTGCCTACTGGAGATAGAGTTTCGCTGGTCAGAGGCGGCCCTATTCGGAGAAGGACCGAAGCACCCAGAAGACAGCGTGGAGTTTCTGATCATCCACGCCTGGAGGACAGCGGAACAGAGCAACCTACTGGGATTCCTGTTCGGGAAGGTGGAGGAGGGCAATCTCACCTTGATCGCGGACGAGTTGCTGGTATTTTTGACTCAGCTGGCGGACAATCTGCCCCTGGACATCTTGTCGCACAGTGACAAGCAGCATGGCACCCATGTGCTGTCTCGAACGCTCGAGCCGCACCTTGTGTGGTCCACGTGCATGGAGATCGGCGAGGACAATTGTCTCTATCCCTCCCAGGCGCTCTACTTGGAGATCGACGTTACTGATCTCACGTTTTGGGACCCGATTGCGAGACAAAACGTGGCACAGGACGAGGAGATAAGGGGAGAAGACGAAGAAGAGGAAGAAGAAGAGCCATCGAGTGAGGAAACGGACGATCCGGACTACGTACCGGATAGAGAGGCAGGGATAGCCGACGAATCAAACCAGCTGCAGGCGCAGGACGAGGGGGTGGAACCAGAAGAAGAAGAAGGAAGCGGGCTATGAGGATCGGAGTGCGAAGGATTCGAGGCTGAAGTGCGCGACGCGGCGCGAAAACGAGCACGAGAACAGAGGAAACGGAAGCCCCAGGAAACCGCGGAGGGAAAGCGAACCGCAACAGATGTGTCCTCTGTCGATCCATCGATCGGAGACCCGTGGCGTGATCCAGAGCCGCCAGAGGAGGAAGACGGTGGAACCACAGCAGAGGGATCATGGAGCCGAAGAAGAAGAAGAAGTGAATCGCCAGCTCCCTCCAGCTCCCCGTCCCGATCCTCCCTTCGTCTACATCAAGATCTCGACGTTCGGGCTTCGTCCCCGGTCGTTCTCTCGCCGACCCCGTGACTACCTGAT